GCTGCCTCTTCGGCTGGATCTGGTGTCCCAGAACCACGGCAATCTGCTGCACCCGAACCTGGCGCCACTGTACTTGACAGCCTGGGTGCTGCGTGGAGAGGAACGACGGGGTTCCAACAGTGTCCAGCAAGTCCTGCTGGGCAGCTGGAAGCCTTCCACCCAAGCTACCTATGTGGCAAAGTGGAAGCGATTTACATGTTGGGCCTCGGATCCTCACATCCAGGCAGAAGAGGCCCCACTGCAAGACATCCTGGACTATTTGCTGCACCTTAAGCTCCAGGGCCTGTCGCTGTCTTCAGTCAAGGTGCATCTGGCAGCCATTTCGGTGTTCCATCCTCCATTTCAAGGCAGGTCGGTCTTCGCCCACCCTATTACGGAATGATTTCTGAAAGGCCTGGAGCACCTTTACCCATATGTCCAGGATCTGGTATCCCCTTGGGACCTGAATTTTGTGTTGTCACAGCTCATGGGTCCCCCCTTCAAACCCCTAGCTTCCTGCTCCCTCCTGCTTCTCTCCTGGAAGGTCTCCCTCCTAGTCGCCATAACTTTGGCCTGTGGAATGTCCGAAATCAGAGTGGAAGCATCTGAACCACCTTATATGACCTTCTATAAGGACAAGGTTCAGCTGCATCCGCACCCGGCCTTTCAGCCCAAAGTCATCTCCCAGTTCCATAATGGTCAAGATATATACTTGCCGGTCCTTCGTCCTAAGCCCCACGTGACAGATGAGGAACACAGGTTGCATGTCCTGGACATCAGACGGGCCCTGGCCTTCTACATAGACAGAACAAAGCCGTTCTGTACATTGACACAGTTGTTCACTGCGGGTCACAGACAGGATGATAGGTTGCCCTGTCTCTGCCCAAAGAATATTATTGTGGATCACAGCCTGTATCCGCTACTATTATGAGCTAGCAAAGGTGCCCCCGCCGCCGATAGTGAGGGCTCACTCAACTAGGGCGCAGGTGTCCTCAGCAGCCTTCCTCAAATATAGTTCAGAAATATTTATTGAACACTTCTGCCTTTTCTGCTTTATTATTGATAATTATACCATTTCCATCTAGTAGTGGACCAATACCACTGTCAGGATTTTTTTGTTCCTAATGTATTAAAAAAATTCCTCCTTACTGTCCCTAACTCTGCTGGCCACAGATTTCTTCTTGTTTCCCTTTGATTCTCTTATCAATTTTCTATAATTATTAACTTCTCATTTATATTAATTACTATCAACTGCCCCTTTCTTCCCAGCATCCTGTGATAGAAGGGTTGCCCGAAGTGGAAGAGTGTGCGGTGTGCATACTGTCATCCGCAACAGGTACGAGTACCAAGTATGTCTGGGCCAGCTGGGGGCTACCAAGATGACTTTGCCCTTGTCGGTTCATATTTTGTGTATAAACCTTGAGAACAGGGGGATCAGAGGAAACACTTTTAGCAGAGGTGCATCCCATTTGAGAAGGAAGGCATCTCCCAGGGATTGGGGCCTCAGCCCTGCTCTCGAACAGAATTGCCAGCATTTGCTGTTCTGGGATGTCGTGAAGAGGTCAATGGATGGGTGACCCCAGTGTTTGAATATGTTCTGTAGGACTGTACAGTTTAGTTCCCACTCGTGATTCTGAGAAAATTCTCTGCTCAGCGTATTGTAGTGTTTTGACAACCTGGGAGGTACGAGGCTGATATGCTGACACTGTGCCAGATACACCAGTTCCATAGTTTCATGGGTTTGGTGCATAGGGAGTGTGACCTGACCCTTCCCTGCCGGTTCATATAAAACATGCAGGCAATGTTGTCCGTCCTTACCCGTAGAGTCTCGTTCCTGATCAAGGGCAGGAAGAGCAAGCACTGGTTGTGAACCGCGCACAGTTCCAGGAGATTTATGTGTAACAGTGTCTTGGAGGGAGACCACCTGCCCTGAATTGTGTGGTGCTGTACATGGACTCCGCAGCCTATCAAGGAGGCATCAGTTGTAAGAATCATTGAAGGTGGAGTCTGTGTGAAAGGGACTCCCACACACACACATTGTTGGGTTGTATCCATTGGTGTAGAGAGTCTTTGACTGTGTGGCATTGCAAAGTGTCTGTTTAGGCTGTGTTTGTGTGGTATGTAGGCCATATGGCCTAATAGTTGGAGGTAGGTGTCACCCGGCGTGCCTGGGGCAGCCCTCCCTGAAAACGCCATGGTCAGGGCAGGCTGCCAAAAGGAGAGCAGATACTCCCAGGACTGGTGGGTAACACTTAAGTTAAACTTCCCAACCAGTCACAAAGGCAGCGATGATGGGAGAGTCACCCCCGGGAACAGGCACACCGGCTGGCAGAGCTACTCCCTGTGACGGCCAGCAGGAGGTGTCACCTGTAGTGAGGGAACCTCATGAGAGCCAGATACTGGGAGACTTGTGTCACCACAGCCTTTTCCATGATCTGAGCCTGCACTGGAAGGCTAGATGCAGGCTGAACACTGCTGGCATCAAGCCAGAGCTTTCTGAGCAATGGCCATGCAACATCTTGCCAGAAAGGGCCAAGAAGGTGTGTCATAAATATAAAGGGAAGGGTAAACACCTTTAAAATCCCTCCTGGCCAGAGGAAAAACCCTTTCACCTGTAAAGGGTTAAGAAGCTAGGATAACCTCGCTGGCACCTGACCAAAATGACCAATGAGGAGACAAGATACTTTCAAAGCTGGGGGGGCGGGGAGAGAGAAACAAAGGTTCTCTTGTCTGTGTGAGGCTTTTGCCAGGGACAGAACAGGAACGGAGTCTTAGAACTTAGGAAATAATCTAGCTGGATATGCGTTAGATTCTGTTTCGTTTAAATGGCTGAGAAAATAAGCTGTGCTGAATGGAATGGATATTCCTGTTTTTGTGTCTTTTTGTAACTTAAGGTTTTGCCTAGAGGAATTCTCTATGTTTTGAATCTGATTACCCTGTAAGGTATTTACCATCTTGATTTACAGAGATGATTCTTTTACTTTTTTCTTCAATTAAAATTCTTCTTTTAAGAACCTGATTGCTTTTTCATAGTTCTTAAGATCCAAGGGTTTGGGTCTGTGGTCACCTATGCAAATTGGTGAGGATTTTTATCAAGCCTACCCCAGGAAAGGGGTTGTAGGGTTTGGGGAGGATTTTGGGGGGAAAGACGTTCCCAAGAGGGCTCTTTCCGGGTTATCTGTTAGACGCTTGGTGGTGGCAGGAATAAAATCCAAGGGAAAAAGGAAAATAGTTTGTACCTTGGGGAATTTTTAACCTAAGCTGGTAAAAATAAGCTTAGGGGGTTTTCATGCAGGTGCCCACATCTGTACCCTAGAGTTCAGAGTGGGGAAGGAACCTTGACAATCTTCATTAACAGAAACCATGCACACCCCCACCCTGAAAGCAAATCCACTGGAAGTAAAGTAATTTTCTCTGATAATGACTGGGAGGAGAATCATAGTTCTCAGCACTTCAGAACCTGTGCACCTGCCGCCCATCAGTGAGTACAATGCAGCCTCATGACTCATCTTAAAAGTGTAGTTATATTAAAACTTGCCTGAAATGGCATGGCCTGATTCTCAGGAGTGCTGACCCTGTCAGTCCCTAGTGACCGTGATGGCCATTGAGTTTGGAAATGTTGGCCTTTGCCACCCTGGGTCTCAGGTTCCTTTTCTGGGAAATGGGATAATAATACTGCTGTCACCCTTGACATCTATGGACGAAAAATGTTACACACGGTCTGTGCTACCGGCTGCTATGATGATGATGATGACCCAATGTGCATGTGCAAATTGGGGGGTTGGCTACACACTAGCCATGCACAGCGCAAATCTCAGCTGTTTGCATTCAGTTCTGGCAGAGCACATGCAAGCAGTTGTGCAATCGAGCATGCACCTACTTGCTGAAAATCAGCTCCCCTGTGTAGAGCTTTTCTTCCTGAAATCGTGCAGACCAGTAACACATACCATTCAGCACCAGAGAAGGGGTGCAAAGTACAAAGTGACAGCTCCAGATGTGTCACCCTGTATTAAAGGCTCCCTAATAGCACGGGCAGACTGGGCTCAACACAGCACTGAAAATACCCATAATGTGCATAGTGATGCTGTTCTAGCACTGTATGAGAAACGGACATTCTCAGACATCTTGGCTTCTGTGCCCCTAAGATGTGTATTCGGGGGAAAAACCAAGAAAATGCATGTCAGCTCCTATGGGGCTGATGGCAGAAAAGGCTGGTCTGAGACTGGTGCTTCAGGCAGACAACGTGATCGTGAGCAAGTGGCTGTCTCCTCTGTGTTTGCTGCCTGGCTGGCTATCGTTAATTGCTTGTGATATTTGCATTTGTTTTATAATTACCACTGAGAAACATGTTTGGTTTGGAACAAGATTCAACATCTGCATTCCACTCTGAGCACAGGACCTGACCCGGCAGGTTGCACCCTGGCTGGCAGACAAGCTGAGGTGAGAGCAGAAATCTGCCTGGGTGTCAGTACGTGAGGCCTATTAATTCTTGAATCTATCTGGAAGCGACAAGCCAGACACTGAGAATCACAACGGCAGCCAACAAAACTGAGAGCAAGAATTGCTGAAAACTACCTCTTCCCCCGGAGTGGAGGGATATTCAGCAGTAACTGACAACTAATGCAGACTCAGGTAGGGTTGCCAACACTGTATTTCAAAAATAAGGGGCTGTTCTCTTAGCACCCCTCCCGATATTATTATTAATAATTAATAAACAGGACTCACCTACATTCGCCTGGGGTATTTCTTGCTGCTTTTTTCAGCACTCAGCAACTCCCGAACTTGTTGTGCAGAGATGAAGAAATAAGGGACGTCCCTTCTCCTAAGGACCTATTGGCAGCCCTAGAGAGGAAGCAACAAGGTGCACTGAGCTCTCAAGTCCCACAGCCCCAGGGGAACCCGTTGTGAAAGAGCTGAGGAAAATCAGAGAGAGACAGAGTGTTGGAAGGGTGGGCCAGAGACAGCTGCTGAAGAACACAACAGGCAGAACCTCCAGAGGGTTAGCAGCAGCAGCTCTCATCATGTTCAGCCACCATGTTCAGGCCAGGTCCCAGCTCCAGAGGGGCTCTGGGGACAGTCCTGGGGTGTCTGGACCGCTGCGGAGTCGGTTGGAGAAGCTGAAGAAGCTGTGGTGGAGGAAGCCCATCCCCCTGGTGCTGCAGCACAGTGAGACAGCCAGGCTGGCTATGGATGCCTTTCTGGAGCAGGGGGAGCCTGGCTATCTGCAAGCCATTGCTGAGGAACAGGAGCTGCCATTTCTCTCCCCCCTAGACATGGACTACATGAGCCAGCACAGAAGCCAGAGTATCCCGGAGCCTAATGCAAGGAAGGGGCCTGAGACCGAGCCCAAAGAGGGAGACACTGAGGACAGGGCCTCCCTTTTCTCTGAACTAAGCTCTGGTACCTACTTCCCACTCATGTCTGACATGCAGCCTCCAAAGCTGGAACTGGGCTGGCCAGTGGGGCCACTTGCCACATGGTATGGCCAAACTCAAGCCACTGTGTATTTCCAGAGAAACAAGGCCAACAGCATCAAGGATTTACTCCGGTGCCTGATCAGCAGGGCAAAAACGGTACGTACAGAACTCACCCCATTTAGATAGAGCGTCTTGCACCATGGGATGAATGCAGGCACCCAGGATGGGGCACAGCTGTAGGGGACTCTCAGTCCTGGCTGCTGTCCTCACGAGCCTGGCAACGTCTGGGCAGCTGGAGTGCTGTGACTGCTGCATATGCTGCCCAACTCCATAGCCACCTGTGCCCCTCAACTAGCCCAGTTTAGATTCCTTCCTGCTTTCTCCAGCCATATTCTTAGGCTCTGAGTCTTTTAGGGTAGAAACTGTCTGTCTATGTATTGTGTGTGTGCAGAGTGCCTAGCACCATGGAGTCCGATCCATGGGTGCAGGGTCAGGGCTTGTCCATCCGGTGGGGGTGGGGTTGGGTTAGGGTTTGTCCATCCCAGGGGCGGGGAGAGTGGGGGGTTGGGCCAGGGCTTGTCCATCCCGCGGGCAGGAGGACATAAGAATGAGGGCCTATACCTGGGCTGGGATCAGCTAGGTAACCATGGCTGAAACCCCTAATCAGCCAGATTGCCCAGTTGGCTGAGAGGCATTTCCAGGACTACTAGTAAGCCCAGCAGTAGCACTTGGCCAGTGGCTGCTCAACGCTTATACCCACAGCTGTGATTGTTCCTGTGTCTCTTTGTTCCCAGCCTTGCTCGAGCCCTGTTTCTGCCCAGCTCCAGCCCACTCCAGCTCTGCTCCCCTGCTCAGTTTCTGACTCCTGGTTCCTTACCCTGGCCTTGACCCTCAGCTCTGGCTCCTGTAGCTTGACTCTGGCTACAACCACTAGGCCTGACTGTCCCTTGTCCCAGTCTGTGACACTGAGTAGCCCAACCAAAAAGAAGATAAAGAAGGGAAGAGGGAGTGGGTCAGTTACTGGAGTGGATCCCACTAAAGCCAGCATCTCTCTGCCAGAGAAAGTGGGTGTCATACAAAACCTACAGTGGCAGGTAGACACCTTGCAGGCGCAGAATGCTACACTGCAGGCACGTAGCATCGTCTGTAACTTCCCCCTTACAAACCTAAAATTCTCCTGATAGACAAGTTTGATGGTGACCTCAGCCAGTTCCATAGTTTTATGGACCAGTGCCGGCTCCTATTCCTGCTGCACCTTCCATCCTGCCCCACCTTCTCCACTGACCGCTCTCGGGTGAGACGTATCACTAGCCTGCTTACTGCAGAGGTGTTGGCTTGGGCCTCCCCGCTCCTGGAAAAATCTAGCCCTTTCCTGAACCAATCTGAGGACTTTGTTCAAGCCCCGGCAGTAATTTTTGCTGACCTGAGCCATAGGCATGCGGCCACACTCCAAACCCTGTGGCAGGGACACCAGCCAATTGCTACTTATGCCCTGGAGTTATGGTGTCTGATAGCTGACGCTGTATGGAAAGAGGCTGTGCGCAGCTACCATTTCCGGCTCAGCCTCAAAGGTGAGATCAAACGTAAACTGGCATGACTAGAGCCACCGGCTGATCTGGATGCCCTGATCAAGCTTGTTATGAAAACATCCATGCCCCGGGTCTCCTCCTGAGAAAACAGACCACAGGGAGGTGCCCTTGAAGGGTGTGGTAAAGTCAGGAATGACAGCCCGCAACTGGGCTTGGAATCAACTAGCTTGCTGCAGCTGAAACCCCTAATTGAGCAGATTGCCTGAGAGGCGTTGCCGAGACTACTCTTAAGCCTAGGAGTAGCACTTGGCCAGTGGCTGCTTGACAATTCCATCAATATACTTCTGGCCACCCGGTCACAGTGCAATCAGACCACAGATCCCTTGAGACCATCTTAGAGCATCAGCATAGGAGCCAGCAAACAGCTGAAAATAAGGAGAGTTCTGCTTTTGGTTTGGTGTTTGTCTGGGGTTTTTTGTTTTTTTGTTTTTGTTGTTTTTTCCTCAGTAGGAGTTTAGGCGGGAAGGCTATGACAGACACAGAGGCAGCAGTGGCATGGAAGAGACAGAGAAGATGACCGGATGTGGAGGTTGCAGGTTGTAAAGTATTCTGGAGAAGGTACCTGAAAAGAACTTGGTTTGTATGAAGTGCTGCCTGATAAAGCTGATGGAAGAGAAGATCTGAGGTTCTGAGATGCAGGTGGAAACTGTGGTTGAGTTTTGAAGGGGATTTGAGCAGATGATGGAGGGAAGGCAAGAGGAGGCTGAAGGGAAAAGTCAAGACTCACAGATGAAAGCTGGACTGAAGAACTCTGAGGGGAAACTGCTGGGTGAGGAAAGTGGCCAGGGGAAGCATGTGACTATGAGAATCAGGCAGAGGAAAAGACCAGCCAGTGAAGGAGAAATAGAGCTCAGGAACAGGTTTGATAAGTTGGAAAATGAAGAAGGGGCTCAGCAGTCAGTGAATGAAGATGGGAGGGCCAGGAAGAAGAGAAGAGCAGCTAGTCCTATAAGAAGAGGGGAAGAGTCAATGGAGATACCAAAAGTTCCGAGGAGGATACAGGATAACTCTCAGAAGATTGCAAGGCAGAACAAGAGACAATAAGACTTGCAGCCAGAGAGAACAGGAAGAAGGCCAGAGAATTGCACCAACACCAGGAAGAGGCTGGTCTATGTGATTAGTAACTCCCTACTAAGAAGAAAAGATAGGCCTGAGCTGATCTGAAGAACAGAAGGGGGTGCTGTCTGCTGGGAGCTAAGGTACAGGATCATAGAATCATAGAATATCAGGGTTGGAAGGGACCTCAGGAGGTCATCTAGTCCAACCCCCTGCTCAAAGCAGGACCAATCCCCAATTAAATCATCCCAGCCAGGGCTTTGTCAAGCCTGACCTTAAAAACTTCTAAGGAAGGAGATTCCACCACCTCCCTAGGTAACACATTCCAGTGTTTCACCACCCTCCTAGTGAAAAAGTTTTTCCTAATATCCAACCTAAACCTCCCCCACTGCAACTTGAGACCATTACTCCTTGTCCTGACCTCTTCTACCACTGAGAATAGTCTAGAACCATTCTCTCTGGAACCACCTCTCAGGTAGTTGAAAGCAGCTATCAAATCCCCCCTCATTCTCTCTTTTGCAGACTAAACAATCCCAGTTCCCTCAGCCTCTCCTTATAAGTCATGTGTTCCAGACCCCTAATCATTTTTGTTGCCCTCTGCTGGACTCTCTCCAATTTATCCACATCCTTCTTGTAGTGTGGGGCCCAAAACTGGACACAGTACTCCAGATGAGGCCTCACTAATGTCGAATAGAGGGGAACGATCACGTCCCTTGATCTGCTCGCTATGCCCCTACTTATACATCCCAAAATGTCATTGGCCTTCTTGGCAACAAGGGCACACTGCTGACTCATATCCAGCTTCTCGTCCACTGTCACCCCTAGGTCCTTTTCCGCAGAACTGCTGCCTAGCCATTCGGTCCCTAGTCTGTAGCTGTGCATTGGGTTCTTCCGTCCTAAGTGCAGGACCCTGCACTTATCCTTATTGAACCTCATCAGATTTCTTTTGGCCCAATCCTCCAATTTGTCTAGGTCCCTCTGTATCCTATCCCTGCCCTCCAGCGTATCTACCACTCCTCCCAGTTCAGTATCATCCGCAAATTTGCTGAGAGTGCAATCCACACCATCCTCCAGATCATTTATGAAGATATTGAACAAAACCGGCCCCAGGACCGACCCCTGGGGCACTCCACTTGACACCGGCTGCCAACTAGACATGGAGCCATTGATCACTACCCGTTGAGCGCGACAATCTAGCCAACTTTCTACCCACCTTATAGTGCATTCATCCAGCCCATACTTCTTTAACTTGCTGGCAAGAATACTGTGGGAGACCGTGTCAAAAGCTTTGCTAAAGTCAAGAAACAATACATCCACTGCTTTCCCTTCATCCACAGAACCAGTAATCTCATCATAGAAGGCGATTAGATTAGTCAGGCATGACCTTCCCTTGGTGAATCCATGCTGACTGTTCCTGATCACTTTCCTCTCATGTAAGTGCTTCAGGATTGATTCTTTGAGGATCTGCTCCATGATTTTTCCGGGGACTGAGGTGAGGCTGACTGGCCTATAGTTCTCAGGATCCTCCTTCTTCCCTTTTTTAAAGATTGGCACTACATTAGCCTTTTTCCAGTCATCTGGGACTTCCCCCGTTCGCCATGAGTTTTCAAAGATAATGGCCAATGGCTCTGTAATCACAGCCGCCAATTCCTTTAGCACTCTCGGATGCAACTCGTCCGGCCCCATGGACTTGTGCACGTCCAGCTTTTCTAAATAGTCCCTAACTACCTCTTTCTCCACAGAGGGCTGGCCATCTACTCCCCATGTTGTGATGCCCAGCGCAGCAGTCTGGGAGCTGACCTTGTTAGTGAAGACTGAGGCAAAAAAAGCATTGAGTACATTAGCTTTTTCCACATCCTCTGTCACTAGGTTGCCTCCCTCATTCAGTAAGGGGCCCACACTTTCCTTGGCTTTCTTCTTGTTGCCAACATACCTGAAGAAACCCTTCTTGTTACTCTTGACATCTCTTGCTAGCTGCAGCTCCAGGTGCGATTTGGCCCTCCTGATTTCATTCCTACATGCCCGAGCAATATTTTTATACTCTTCCCTGGTCATATGTCCAACCTTCCACTTCTTGTAAGCTTCTTTTTTATGTTTAAGATCCGCTAGGATTTCACCGTTAAGCCAAGCTGGTCGCCTGCCATATTTACTATTCTTTCGACTCATCGGGATAGTTTGTCCCTGTAACCTCAACAGGGATTTCTTGAAATACAGCATGTGAACCTGAGGCTGAAGAGGGTCCTAATGGAAGCATCCACTCTGATGGCAAGAGAAGATTATGATGAGCAACAGATGGCTCAGTCAATGGTGCTATAAGGAGGGCTTTGGGATGTTCAACCACTGGGAGGCAATTCATGGACAGAGGATGTTCTCGTGAGATGGAATCCATCAGAGTAGGGAGGGAAATAGCCTTCTGGGATGGAGGCTGGCACAACTGATCAAAAGAGCTTTAAACTAGGAACTTGGGGGAGACGGGTGGGCAATGCTCATGTAATCTCTATGCCTGATTCT